TTGGACTCTCCTGTTTTATCTCTTACCATTTACCCTCACTCAACTTTCTATTTTGTAGAACTTCTTGGAGTTCCTCTAACACATGGTGCTTCTTCTCACTTTGACCTTCTCTCATGCCTCCAACCCAACAGCTCCAGCCATAGCAGCTACCCTGTGCTGACCCTACAGTGTTCCTTTTCATCTTATGTTCTTGCTGAATCCTTAGGTCTATGTACCCACTACTAGAGTACAAACCTCATACAAGAGGAATGTACCCATGTGCCCCAGGTCTCCTGGTAGACTCAGTACTGATTCTGGTCCTGGTTCTTAGAAGATGTTCAATAAGTATTTGTTGAATCATTTGGATGAAGATAAGACATGACAGGCCAGACATGGTGGTTCATGCCTGTAACCCCAGCTACTTGGGACGTGGCTATCAGGAGGATTGTGATTCAAGGCCAGCTGGGCAAGAAGTTAGTGGGATCCCATTTCAATCAATAAGCCTGATGTGGTGGTGCATACTTGTGGTCGATGCAAGAGGTGTATGTAGAAGGATCATGGTCTGAGGCCAGCCCCAGGCAAAAACATGAGACACTACCTGAAAAATAACTAAACCAAAAATGGACTGAGGGTATGGCTCAAGTAAGAGATGCCCTGCCTAGCAAGAATAAGGCCCTGAATTTAAACCCTGGTACCACCAAAAAAAGAAAAGAAAAGATAAGACATGATATCTTGAAATAGTTATTTTACTGAAAATCATGCAGTTGTTATCTGGTAGGGAAATGGACCCAGGTCAGCATCCTTCCAAAAGCCATGGCTTCACCTGACATTAACATTCTAGGAGTAGATGTCACTCTACTCTCTGGATACTGTACTAGCTTCTTTAACAAAGAAATGAGAGTACTGGTCTATATGACTCTGTAGAGTAGGGAAAAAGAAGACTGTACAATATAGAGATACAGAATAAATTTCTGACTCCATGCTGTGCAACTTTGAGCAAGTCACTCAACTGGACATCAGTTTCTGAAGTGATAGTCTGAGGTTATTCTGGAGGGTCTCTGAATTTTCCTGTTAGCTCTGAAATACTGTCACAGATGGAACTTCAAAGGTGCACCGGTTTTCTCCTGCACCTCTGTTCTTTCTTTATTGCTGAGTTCACTTTAAGTTCTTGCCTCCTTATTTCTCTTTTTGTTGCAATTCTCCCTGTGTTCCTACTGAGCTATTGACATTGTTCTACATTAATTTGGCTTTTTTGTGGCCAAATCCCAAACTCTCCTTGCAATTCCCAGTTTCTTGGCCTATAGTGCACTTGAAAACCTCATTTCTGTACCACCTGCTAAACATCTTTCTCTTAATACTAAGCTAGGGGTTTTGGCTGCTCTTTGCTTTCTCCTGCCTCCAGGCTTTGTCATCTCTTACAAATGTAATCATATCCTAATTCGTCTCACCATCTTCCTGGACAGGCTATTTTCCCTAAATAAAAATCTATCAGTTCATTCCTCAATTATGATACTTTAATAGCTCCCATTTTCCACAGGATTGGAAAACATATCAGTATCCACTGCACACATGCTACCTCTCATTTTTCTGGAGCCCAGGGTAGGCTCTACTATTCAAGTATATCTTCAGAACCTTCTTCTTCTTTTTTTTTTCTCAAACTGTTTTCCATTTTATTTCTTTTTTTATTATTCTTTTATTCGCATGTGTATACATTGTTTGGGTCATTTCTCCCCCTCCCCAGTCCCCCTCCCCCAGCCTCTCCCCCCTTCCTCCCTCAGTTCCAGGCAGGTCCTGTTCTTCAGAACCTTCTTAACACAGACTTCCAGACAGTTACTACCAGTCAATAATTATCAGCATCGAATGTCACAGAGTCATTCACAAATCGACTCCAACCTGCTGTCCAGTCTCATTTTCATGACTTTCCTTCTCACCCACACTTCTGTGTTCTGGGTGCTTCTGACCTTCCCTAAAATGTGTATTTTTTCCAGGCACTTAGCCATTGTTCATGCTTGATGACATTGTAAGGAAAGCAATTATCCTACTATATATGGTTAATGCTTATGAATCCTTCCAGAGGTTTTGGGAAGCCTTTCCTGCCTAGCTCAGGGAGAGTTAAGAAAGCAAGAATTCTCTTCTTCTACTTGTATTATATTGAAGTTATCCATTTTCACATGCGTTGGTCCCGTGCTGATTAGAATACAACTACTTCTGGACTGGGACCATGTTGAGGTCATCTTTGTATCTTATCTAGAGCTTTCTACAATATCTAGAGCACAGTAGGTAGCAAATGAATGCTTTTTGAGTGAATGAGTGAGTGACTGACTGAATAGATGGGTAAATGATGGCACTCTTTAATTATAATTAAGGAAGGTATAGAACTTGCAGAATCTGCTTGTAGGGACACTGCCAACGAAACTTTTCTTAGGCTCACCTGGGCCCAGAATTTCACTGATGGACAGTAGTACTGTTAACAATAGTAACTATGATGATGATAATAGCTAGCATTATGGAATGCTTACCATGTGCCAAGATAAAAATTGCTGGCTTTAAGACTTCAAGAAAAAGGAGCAAAGCAGTCTTTAAATATAATTAAAGATAAGAATAGAATAAAGATAAATCTGGGTATAAAGTCACCCTTTGATCTGCTATCCAAAAATATGACAGTTTATAACTCTACTGAAAGCAACTTCAGATCATTTAGTAATAGAAAGGGGTCACTGACATAAGTAAGACCTTATTACTCATACAGATGTCTGGGCTAGGCAGTAAATAACTGAGTCTTGATATAGTGGTGGCAGTTAAGATTATCCTAAGAAATTTCATTCCTGGTCCAATCTACAGGAGTTAAAATCCTCTTAGGACAGCATTCCTATATAGTGTCTATTATGGTTTGAGTATGAAATGTTCCCCATAGACTCAAGTATTGAAGACTTGGCCCTGGGTACAGTAGTGTTTAGACATAGGAAATTGAGAGGTGATTTCATCATGAAGGCTCTAAGCTCATTGATGAGATCATAGCTTAATGTACTATTCAAAGGTGGAGCATAGAGGAAGTAGTTCCCTGGGGGTGTGACTTTGGAGGGAATAGTTTATCTCTGGCTCCTTGGTGTCCTCTACCTCTGATTCTCAGCTGCTATGCAGTGAGGAGCTTTGTTTCACTACATGCTTTTGCCATGATGTTCTGCCTCATTGTGGCCTAGAAACAACAAAGTCAAGTGACGATGGGCTGAAATCTCTAAAACCACGAGCCAAAATAAATCTTTTCTCTTTTTAGGTGTTTATCTCAGGTATTTTGTCACAGTTCTGGAAAGCCGACTGACACAGTGTCTTAAAGAATATAAGTTTTGTGGGGTGGATAAGCTTCAGGTGACAAAATTTGGGGTCTGGTGAGTGTCAGTTCTTGGATGGTCTTCTTATAGACTTAATTTGCATGTCAGCATGTTGGGCTTCAGAAATCTGCTGAATTCCCCATGTGGATTTGATTGAGACTAGAATAGTTCATATTTAGCTCTATGGAATTAATATTGAGAGATACTAGCTTAGGAGGAGCTAAGAAACAGTCCTTCTGTGCTGGGATTCTAGCAGCGGACATATGCAAAGAGGATTGCTATGGAGACCTACCCGACTTAGAGAAGGAAGATTGACTATGCTCCAGGCCAGAATAGACTGGAATGTCATATTATTATTTACATGACAAAATTGAACCTTCTATGAAGGCTGGGGAGAAAAGGACAACTCTTAATCAATCCTTTGAATTAGCAGTTTAGTTATTATGGCCATACCACATAGTCATAGGATTTTATATTTTCATCTTGTCCCAAAGAAAAACTTGACCATCTTTCTTTAATATTATCAACCTGGAAGCTTGACAGTAAGGATTAAAAATTGCTCCTTTCTTCCCACTTGGTTATTGGAAAGGCTCTGAAAGGTAATCAGTCTTGTGAAGCTACACTTTACAGTCTGCATAAAAATGCCATGATTTCCCTTCCTCTCCCCAACCTAATTGAAAGTGCATAATATCACCCAGCTGGGGAAATGTAAACAGTAAACATATGCAATACATCATGCTATCACACAAAAGCTGGCTACTAATAGGGACTGGGTGGTTGTCAGAACCCTAAGAAATCTGGAAATTGAGTCTTTTTTCTATCTAGAATGAGAACTCTTTGAGCCTTCTTTGACTCCTCCCTCCAGACTTTAAGCTGCAGTCAGATTAAAGCAAGGTCAGTCAAGCCTGCTCCCTGAATGTGTAATTTCAAGGGTCACCTAACAATGCATATTGACTAAAACTCTCTTAGATCAACTTTTCAAGACATAAGGCATTTTCCTTTTGGCAGGTGGTGGGGTTGGAACCACCTTGTTCCCCACCTACTGTAATTGTGCTGACAGATGGTCTTATTATCTCTCTCCTTAGCTGCTAAACCTAAAGCTCCTTGTCTTTGTCATCTCCCATCTTTCTCTACTTCATCAGACTCCTATTGCCAAGATGATCTCCTTTTCCACCTCTGATCATCTGTGAATATCTACACAGGGTCACATTTTCCTTGAGTAAAACAATCCCAATCTTACTTTTCAAAGTCCCCTGTATGTCTGCAGCTATCTATAATTCCACTTCAATTACAACTACTTGGAAGTCATCATTTTCTCTTCTCTCACTCCTCACCTCCAAATGTCATGCTATCTTCTTACATAAGTCTTTGTAGTGGGGCTCTTAGGAGAAAGGACGCTATTCCTTCAAAGTTTTCATCATTAGTTCTCTGACACAATATTCCTGCAAAAATTGCTTCCTGATGCACCACGAACTCTACTACTATCATTTATTCATGCCACCTTCTAACTGGCTATTGTTTTATTTTTGATGGCTGATACCTACGGGTGGGTCAAATGGAACACTTGTCTAGGGTACTATGTCATTTCAGTTCTAATAGATGGAAGGATACATTTTTATCTGCTTCAGCAGTAGAGATGATTTGAAACTTACTGAATTAAAACTGCATTCATCTTTCACTAAGTTACATTACCTGTCAACTGCAGCTGGTGGATGATATGGCTTGTTGACCTTGGCATAGAGACCCTCTAAGTGGTCTCTCTCTGGAGACAGTGGACGGCCATCCCGAGGGTAACTGAGTGGTCCGGCCCGAGGGGGAGATGGAGATCTAAAGACATTTGCAGATGCACAGGGTTCCCGAAAGTGGTTCACTCTGGCATAATTGGGGTCCATTTCATCATCATCCATATCATGCACTGATCCAATTGCTCCAGTAGCAAAATCAACAAGAGGTCTTGCCTGCTTTTCCCTTAGCTCTTGATGTTTTGCTCCAATCCTGGAAAATATAGAAGAGATAGCAGAGTTGTTTGTGAGTTTGGTATGCAAATACAATGAAATAGTCTCCCAAATCTATGTTAACTCTTGCTAGACACTCAGCAGTGACTTTCCTGTTTAGTTAAGACCACATCATGCAGAAATGCCCATAGCATAAGAAGATTAATTTTACATCACTGACTTTTATTTGTCACAAGGTCTTGATAACAATGCTATAGATTTTTGACATGTTATCTACTGATGGCTGAGCTGATAGCAGTCCCTCTCTTTAAATGAGAGGTGTTTGTGGAAACAGTTCATCTCTAGTATAATGCTATGGAAGTCCTTTTTAGAACAGGGTTGTGTGTGGAAGAGCTCATCAGGATCTTACATTTTTGCTATAACTTCACCATTTAGTGTCCTAGAGTTCCAGCACAGTCTTCTAAAGAAAGGAGTTTGCAGAAATTGATTTAAATATGAAAAAGAAATACAGAGGCTGTCTGGTCACTAAAAGCAGTGGGATCAGTGGTAATTTATAAGAGACTCTAAGTTTTTTGGTTACACAAGTGGGGATCATTGTGTCTCATTATATAGGGGCTAGGGACAGAGTAAAATAATGAAGAAATTAATAGGCTTCTGACAGAGATGAATTGGCACATATAAGTGAATTAAACACCATTACTGGCAGAACTCTACAGTGCTAAAGCCTTAAGTAGTATTACAAAATGCTACTGCTAATCAGTGCCACTGTGTAGACTACTGGGGATGGAGCAGAAAATTATACTTAGGTGGATTTCAAATTCACTTGAATTTTGAGAATTTGTTGTTTAATGTGGAAAGTGTTAGATCATTTCTTCTCAATTTCTAGTTATATGATAAGATGGACAGGTCACTGTGGCACCTTCTTGGACACTTGGTGATGGTGTTAGGAAGCCTTCAGCACTAATTAGGAAGTTTAACTTTCTGTCTCTGGGCAAACAAGGTGAGGAGGGATGGGATGAAAAGGTATAATGCTGGCTCAGGTGGCTAAAGAAAGATGGGCAAGAAAGGATAGGGGATGAAGCTGAAGTCCTAGACCCAGGGAAGATGAGAGAGCTGTGAGCTGTGAGTAAAGATCTACATATGCCTGGAGACTTATATGGAAGGCCTGAGCTAGTTACAAAACAAAAGCCAAACCCCCTTAGCATCTTCTCCTCTTCAAATGAAAACATTTGTTTTTGTATACGGCAGCTAGTTTTAGTTTACAAAACATCAAACTCTTAAGTTAAAACTTTTAGAAGCCACAATCTTTTAAGGTACTTTTTCTTTTGCCAGGACATGTTTTCATTTCATTTTTTATTTTTCAGGAGTAGAAAGGAGGTGAAAAGAAATGGGGTGGTGGGAGAAAAAAACAACAAAACAAAACAGAGTAAGAAGGCATAAGATAAAAAAGCAGCATCTGTTCTCAAGTCACAATAAATGAAAATAAATGCCTGTACACATGATTGCATATCTCTTTTGACTAGGCCAAAGCATGTACCCTACACATAAGTAATTAGAAGAAGTTATATTTTTTGCATAAGCAGCATGAATCTCCAAGGGATTCTGAATTAAGATGAAAGGGAGATTACACAGTAGGGTACCCATTAAGGGGCCTTGCCTATCCTCTTTCAATTCATGTTAGTCCCAGATTCATGGATGTTTGTTTTGAATAATTTTGGTGAAGAAGATAACCTTCTCCATTCTGCAACAAAACAATCTTTCCAGGGATGTGCAGACTTGGTTATCAGAGAATGCTTGCTGCACGATGATGGTAGGGATGGCTTTCCACTGCCAACAGAGTGAAGGACATCAATAAAGTTAGGGGGTGGGCTTCCGTGTGGTTACTTTCCCTTAGAAGAGGGATCCCTTCAAGAGAAATCAGTCAGCAGAAAAAAGAATATCTCATGGCTGCCACATGGGGCTACACTTGTACATTAATGGAAATGGAATATACCAAGCCTGCTTTTTTAAAATTACAGAAATAGAACATAAGAATCTGTCTCTTATTTCATCTCTTCTCTGTCTTATAGGTTTCCTCATTAATTAAGCTTGCTGAGTATATAGAGATTCTCAGATGAAAAGTACTCTGTGTATGCAAAGCAGTGTTTTATCTTCTATTTTTCCTTTCTAAAACAAAACCAAATTCCTCCTCAATCCTCTCTGCACCACTGAGTGTTGCAGTAACTAATTTCATATTAATCACTCAGTAGGTGAAACAGTAATTTCCCTGAACCATCATTATTATGCCATACATTAGGGTCTCTCCATGTGGGGGAGGACAGGACAATCTTTGAAAAGGGGTGCATGGAGGCAGAAGAGACTTTCTCAAGAGAGAGTGTCAAAGAAAAAGATTTTATTTTTGTAGCTCTGACCTCCCCCCATTCTGATTCAGTATTAGAATTCTAATTGCTTCTTGTCATTTCCACTTGGAGATCGCTTTACCACTGGGAACTCAACCTGTTAAAATATCTGTTTTTCAAAATACCCCTTGATAATATGCCCTTCATCATTTCATGGCACTACCAGTTTCCCCATTCTTCAGAGCATACTGCCTTTGAATTATTTAAATCTCCCTTTTCTCTCTTTTTCTATGAAAACACTGTTGTTTCTTTTTTTTTTGCCCATAATATTTCTTGAATGTGCTCTTTTATTTCCATTTCTTTGGCCACAGTCTAGTGTTCAGATTATATTGTTTAGATCTGCACTATCTAACATGGTGACCATTAGCTATTTGTGTGGCTCTATAAATTTAAATTTGAATTAATTAAAATAAAATAAAAACTCATTTTCTCATTTTCACAAACCACATTTCAAGTGCTCAATAGCTACATATAGTTAGCCGTCACTGTATTAGTATAGATATAGATTAATTCCATTATTGCAGAAAGTTCTATTGGACTGTGTTAGTCTAGATTATTCTAAGAGTTTTGATATGTCACCTTATCCCACATAACTCTATGCCTTTAAGATACAGTAGAATAATTCTCTTTAAAGAGCATTTCTTTCATATATCAATCGCTAATGGAAGATTATAATAAATGACAGTAAAAGTATATAACACCACTTCCCTATCTGAAACACTAAATGAACAAATGATTGAAAAATCAGAAGAAAATTCATCTACAATGGAATTAGAAAATGACCATTATCTTAGACATTGCAATGAAATTGAGACTCAGCCCAAAAGCATAGTGTGAAGAGCTAATACATGTTTACATCTGTAGTGGGGCTTACATTTTCCTGAAGTAAGGGAGCACAGATGGCAGAGGGTCTGAGGACAGGAGTAGGGCCTGAAATTGTGGGTAAGTCTTTGTGAGGATCCAACTTCAGAATAGGCTAGAAGAGATTTATGCCCTCTGAGCAGTATCCTGTCTTGGGGAAATTTCATGGAGGTGAAATCGAGAGAAGAAAGAAATATCAACCTGATTTGTATCTGAAAGGCAGAAGAGCAGAGAAAATTCAAACTCATCAAAATAAAACCTGTCATCTAGGAGACTTCCCTGAGACCCAGGTTGTTCTCTTGTCAGGATAGCTGTCGCCTCCAGAAACCCCCAAATCGAAAACCAGAGAAAATGAATGCCCAGAACAGGGTATGCAGACAATCTGGAAAGAAATGTTTGAAAAGAAATGTTTCTATATGTTTGAAAGAACATATAGAACTGAAGTTAGACCTTAGACAGCTATTTGCATATCATCTAATACTGTATTTTAGCACATTTTTCTTTTTTTATTCATCTTCCCCCCTCCCACAAGCACCTCCCAACTGTACCTATTTTATAGTCTTGTCTTTCATTTTTAATATTTAAGTCAATGCTCAAAGGGATTTCTCACTGTAACATTTTTCTTTAAATTTCAAACACTATAGGACATGAAGTTAACTTAATTGGTCATAGAAACATTTAAAAACTAAATACAATAAGAAAATATTACAACTTATTGTAAATAGTAAACATAAGTATTGTGTCAAGAAGGAGAAAAGTAAAGTCATCTAAAATTCAGGCAAATTCATGCTGGTCTCAAACATGAATACAGACCAAAGAAAAACATTTAAAAACATTTTAAACTACATTTAGTAGTTGAAAAACTACTAAATAAGGAAAAGCAGCCAACCAATAATTGAGTCAATGTGAAGAAACCAATCTGGTTCTTCTGGTCTGAATGGTCCCCAGATTTATGTGTTGAAACATAAGCCCTGTTGTGATGGTGTTAAGAGGTGGAGACTTTGGGGAATGAACTTAGACTCCACAGCCTTCAGAATTATGAGAAAGCAAGTTTCTGTTCTTTAAGAACTGCCCAATTTTAAGTTTCTTGTTATAACAGCAAAAGCAGACTAAGATACTACTGAAGCAGTTTAATGACAGTGCTGACGGGTCTGGAGGTGAATGACACATTCATATACATGCAAAGCTAAAGCTAAATATCTGTTTGAATAATAGTTACAGAAAAATGTGAATATTATACATGGACAATATATAAATAATGTCACTAATGAGAATCAGAAGCTATAAAGCAGGCATCAATAGTTCCTGCTAAAGTTGATAAACCAAGAAACAGAGGTCTGAGTATAGTAAATATAATTACAAAGAACCCACTAAAAGAACAAATTATCAGCAGAGGAGAAAGAGACCAAACAAGCCCCAGCTATACAACAGAAAATAGAAAAGAGACGAAGCAGTAAAAGAGAAAATAGCAAAACAAGCTGACTAAATTTATGTTATGACAGTAACTATAAGGTGGATTAATTTCTTTATTACAACTAAAGGATTTCAGATATGATCAATAAGAAGAACACATTGAGTGCTATTATAATAGTGACATATTGGAAACAGCCTGAATGTGCATTAATAAGGGATTACAAAAGAAGCATTCTTCAGCTGTAAAAAAAAAAATAAGGACATAGTACTCCTACTATAAAAGGAAATAAGGTATGCATAAAGGTGCATAAATATAGGTATAGTAATATTTATAATTATTTATAACTTAATATTTATAAATTAGATG